GCTGTGGTGTGAGCAGGGCAGAGCAGAGGGGCAGGAGAACCTCTCTGCCCTACAACCACCCCTTCTCATCCAGCCCAGGCTGGCGTTGGCCTTCTTGGCTCAAGGGCACATTGCTGGCTCATGGGCGTTGCTGCCACCAACACCCCAGGTCCTTTTCTGCCTGGCAGCTCCAGTCACTCGTCCCCAAGCCTGTAGCGCTGCATGGGGTTATTTAAATGACTCCTTATGAAGGAGGTTTGACAAAGGTCTGCATCTCCCCTCTGATCTGCCTGGGGAACGATTCAAAAAGACCAAGTCACGGTTTGGAGGAAAAAAAAAACCCAGTCCCTGAGGCTTTGTTTTACAGTTAAAATTTAATTCCCTTTTTTTAGAACTCTCATTTTTTTCCTGAAAGACTTGTGAGGCCTTTGGAGCGCAGTTAATTTTATGCACTCGTATGTCACAAAATGAGTGGAAAAGCATGTGAGACAGTTTGAGTGGTTTTCTTCTTTATACAAATTAAACTCCATCGGGTGATGACTGAAGAGAAGAAAGGCTTTATTTTAACAACTGACACTCTTTAACCTGTGTTCAGGTTAAGGAATCTAAATTACAGAGCCAAAAATGGTGATAGAAAGCTGGCAACAGAGGAGAGAGCTAAACCAGAAGCCTTCATCCAACCACCTGGGGAGCCTAGAGGGGTCTTGGTTCTCCATAAACGTGTGTATAAAGATGGTGTGACCTTTCCCCCCCCCCTTCTGTATCATTAGTTTAAAATGTGATTACTTAACAAAACATCCCTGGCGTTTCAATCAAAAACAAAGGCTAAGTCTTGCAAAACGTAGTTACTTTAAATTTTACTGGTACAGTTACGTTACCTTGACTTCATTCCTAGCGGTTGGGGTTGGTTAAACTCTCCGGTGCTGGCTGGAGTTGATAGCGGCCGCTGAGCTCAGCTTTCTGGATTAATTGCAGGTTTTTGAGCTCTGGATGTTGTGGTGCCTTGAATTGTCCCTTCTGTGCACGTGCAGCCTTCCAAGACCACGTTCTGGTTGGAAGCGGGGCCATGGAGTTGCGTGGTTTGCATTAATTTTACATTAATTAATGGAGTATTGGCAGAAGGACCTGCCTGGGCCCCGTAGTACGTTATATACAGCACGTTATGTACAGCATTTTGAGTGTCTGAGCCCCTGCTTATAATAAAAGCATTGCTTGTGCTGGGATTTGCTGTAAATACAAGCTTTGGAAGTAATTCTGGAAAAAAAAAACCCCATCAAACCTCCCAACCCCAAACCAAACCAAACATTTAGAAGCCGTGATATTTTGTTTCTTTTTCTACTGGAAAAGTTAAACTGAAAAGTCATGTTTGTATTTATTCATGATGTCCATAAATTGCAGTTAGACTGAGGGATTTTTTTTTGCTTGTGTTTTAACCTTGGTAATTACAGCTGCTGCAGCGGCAACCACTTTATTTTTGGCACCAACTCTGGATTTTAATCTCTGGATTTTAAACCCGGTAAACATCGCCTCTCGCTAAAACTTGCGACACTGAGCAGCAGGCTGTTTCTAAGCAATTAAATGTTGTCGCTCACGCCCGGGCTCCGGATGACGCCATCTCGCCTAGCAGGCGATCTCATTAAGCAAGTGAAGATATTTCTCCAGGGAATTTGATTTCTGCGTTTCAAACCCAAAGCAGAGGCGGTGGCGGGGCCGGGTGCAGGTGGGGATTTGGGGACCGGCTGCGTTTTGCCGAGTTGGCTTTTAGAATCCAGGGTTGCTTGTTTTGTGTCAGGTTGTCCCCATAAAGGAGTTATCTCTGTATTAATTTTCACTGCATGATCATAATCTTTAAATTCCTACTCAATAAAATAATTTTCTAGGTGAAATAGTTGGGTGCTATTCTTGTTTTCCTGTTTACATGCGTAGATACACCTGCATATGTGGAGAGAAAAACATAACTGGAAAAGCCAAGCTCACTTCTGGCCAAAATGTGTTGATTTGCTCCTTCTTCTTTAATTTTTCAGGAAGCCTTGGTTATTTCAAGGCTGTCGGTATTCAGCTTCTGGAGGTAAAATGAAAGTATTTCAGGGTGGCATTGAGGAAAGAGCAGCAGAGAAGTGGGGGTTTCCTGTTTCTTAGGTGGCTTTCTCACCATTAAAAATGCTGGGTTAAAAGATGTGAGGGTTGTGATGGTGAGTTCGCTGTGTGCCTGTGGTTCTGGCAGGCATTAAAAGCAGGAGATGTCCGGTGTGTGAGAGCTTGCAGAAGCTCAAACAAGACTTTTTTCCTTATTACACTGCCTGTCTGGTGCTGCGGGCTCCGGTTCGGTGAAAAATGATAGCGGGGCACCTGCCTGTGAGACGTGGATGAAGTCGGTGCCGATGCTTTGCAGGTGGATGTGCTCCTCTGGGGGTAAACAGCGTTGTTTTGAGTGCGTGTGAGCACCAAGTGTGACAGTCCGGTTCCTGGGAATTGTTCTGTTTTCTCATCCTGACATCTGAGTTTTGCAACACGCTGTGAATTATCTTTAACGTTCTGGCTGCGTGCTCTTTCAGGTGGAGGCATTAACCCATCAGCCCAGAGCCACGACCGTGCACGCAGTCAGAGATTCGGAGCTTGCCAAACTCCCCGAGGGAGCGCTGACATCCATCAAACGCAAATTCCCCCAGGTAAGACAATTAAAAGTATTTTCTGTCCATCTCAAGAGATGTTTGAGGAGCTAAAGCTCTCCATTCACACCAAGTCCTCTGGGTTTTTTTGTCTGATAGATGCACGCTGAGGAAACACTTTGTTCCCTTTGCCTGCCTGATCTGCTCCATAGCAGACGTTCACCAGCTTCTCTTCCTTTACTTGGTAATCGATTGGAGCAAGTTTTATTGCAGATCATTGTGTATCTGGAAGATGTTCATGCTGAATGCAGGACATGCGTATTTAGCAAAGTGGAAATCACTTAGTGCTGAAAGTGTGACTTTTAAAACGCCTTTAAAATGTTATTATTCGTTTGTCTTGCTCGTAGAGACTCAACGTCAGCACATGGTTACGTGTACCTTTATTTCCAGAGCATTGATAGTTGGGGGTTGGTTTTCCTCTTCCTTGTGTTTCAGGCTGTCAATCCTCATTCTGCGACAGCCAGATCTGTCTGTGTCCTGAAGACTCTGATTGCTCCCTTTGAATCCATCAACTCATCCATCTTCTTTAATTCACTTGACATTATACTGCTCTCCTGCAAATCTGGAGACTGACGGACTTGAAATTTAATTCTTTTGTCCCTAAGTGCATCAGGGACGTTAGACTAAGCACTAAATCATCGCACTAGCCTTAAAGGCAAATCTTTAATGCTGTTACTTTGAATTATTTCTGATTTTTCTTCTTGCTGTCTTTAAGTCTCATACTTATTTTACCAGATTTCTTAAACAAACCCCTGCGAAAGTAATAAACCTTATTAAAATACTTGTATTCTTTTGCTTTCCTGGGACCCATAATAATGTTTTTGATTATTTTTTTTTAAACTGTATGATATAAACCCTGTGTTTATGCATTCTCATGTTACAAAAACTGTCGGATTTTGTCTCTACTATTGCTAGGATAATTTCATCACCGCAGTAAGTGTTCAGAAGTTACATCAATGCAAAGTAATCTTCCTGGTTTCCCTGTAAGCAGTCTGAATTATTTGTGGGTTGTTAAAGCACTCTTGTTCCCTGGGTCTCTCTTGAATAGTCCTCCCAGTCTGTTCTTTATTTAATGTTACACATTTCCTGCCCAGATTTAGGAACTGGTACCCGTGTGCAGCTTCTGTAGCCCCAAACTGGGTGCTGCCAACATGGCACCTTGTCTTGAGCTGCCCCTATAAATCCCACTCTCCTCGTGGCTGGTCAGGAAGTGAGGAAATGAACCAGGTGGGATCAAAAACCACCTTTCTCCTTATGTAGTGGATGATTCTAAATGTTCTAGTAGGCATTTAAACTGCAAATTACTAGTAAGCACTAAACATTGAGCATTTAGTAGTGCCTCAAGTGCTGATCAGCACAAAGGCTGCGTTTTAATTCTGGTTTTTGTCTGGGGCAGGAATTGATTTCAGGTCTCTTTGCTCTCATCCCTTTTCCTACTTAATCAGTCAGCAGAATTGTTTTCCCCTGAAGTGTGCTCTCTGTGGACATGTGAATCTGTTTGCTTTGCAGTTAAAGTGGAGCTCGAGTGTTACGTTTGTAGTACAATTAAAAACATTTATTTGTAATAGAATTCTAATGGCTTCCCATGCTTAAAGAGTGCAGCCTGTCAGCCTCAAAGTCCTGGTCTGCTTGAATATGGAATTAAGTTTTCTCTAGACTTGCATATCGTTTGGCTAATCAGTCGCAATGAACCAAAATGCTAAAATAGATCTTTTAAAAAAATGTGTTACAAAAAAGGCTGTTGGAAAAACAGATCCACGCTGCTGTTTGAGATCTCCAAATTCTAAACAGATGTTAAACTGGTATTAAAAATGTGAGAGCTTATGCTTTTACCACTGGATTATTTTAGTACGAGCATAGCCTTTAAGTAGGTGATTTCCGCAGTTAATACCTTCAGACTGTCTTAAGAGCCTAGGATAAAATATATATTTTTAATATAATCTCAAAGTTCTTGTGTGTTCTCTTTTTGTCTGTTAGGTCCATCAGATAAGAGAGGAAGGACAGAAGTGAGAGGGAATTGAAGTGATGGGGGAAAGCAGAAAGTGTAAGTCAAGTAGAAAGTACAAAGTCAACTTTAAAGGAGTGTACTGGGGGGGACTTTCGGAGCTGGAAATGAATAAATTGCATACAGAGAAGAGAGCCTGGGTAGCTGCTTCTTAGAAAAAGGATCCAGCATTAGAGGATCAAAAGCTGACCATGCCCAAACAGTTCATGCAGCAGTGGAAAAATAAACCTATGTGCACAGAATGCTTTTTGGAGCGCAGAAATCCCTGCGTTCTCCCTGATGTCGCAAAGCCGCGGTACCAGCCCGTGGCAGCACATCTGAAGGAAGAGGCAGACCAAGGGAAGAGAGGCTGGAGGGCAGGAAGGCGGCTGGCTGCTGTTCAGAGATAGTAACCTATAAAGGCAAAAAGACTGTGAAAGGTTAAGGGAAGACGTGGCAGCTATTTTCAAAGAGATGAAGTTCTCTTCTGGCAGAAAGGGCATAAGCCGCTCACTGTATTGGAACAGAGCAAATGGCAGCGTACGGAAACTGCAGCAGCTGGGTATTAAGAAAAAGCCGATTCTACAAGGGCTAAGAGATTGTGACTTGTTTTTATAACCTCTTAAAAAATGATGTTTGAGGTGATGCTTAGTGCTGAGCAGAGGGATGGGCCACATGAATTCTCTCTGTCCTGTTTTCTCTCCTGTTATTCTAGTAAGGGGATTTAGACGTGAGGTTTATGAGGATGTTGTCCCCATTCAACCAGAAGTAATAAAGTAATGAAGGGATAGAAGGTGCAATAGTTTTGAAATCATTGACTAGGTAGCATGAGCTGGCTTGTGATTCAGCCCTGTGCTGGAGGATTTCCCTCTTAGTCCTCTACAAACCAGAAAACCATCTTTTAGGGGAGGAAAAAACCCCAAAATCTCTGTCTCTGTCAAGCACATGTTCCCACGCTGACTGGTAAGGTGAAGTTAACCTGAGCCTTGCTTGGTGGAACAGCGATCAAACACGGCTGCTTGTCCTGAGTCACACAAAATGCTCCCACCCAAGTCACCCAAGACTTAACTCCCAAGAGTGAATAACCCTTTAATTCTCGGAGTTAGCGGAGGGACTTCATCCTGCAAACTTTTCGCCAGTTGTGATGTGTTTGTAGAAGATCCAGAAAAGGCCTCAACTCTGGAGTGCATTGTAAGAAAATACTACCTGATGGGTAAGAAAATTGTGAACGTGAGTGGTGCTTGCCATTGAGAACAACTTGAAATGAGGGAAAGCGTGCTCTGTTGGTCTGTACAGTAATTCGAGTTCCTGCAGATGTGATGTACAGTCTGGGAAAGTTGCACTGCTGATCCTTGGGGAGGCACCATGTGCTTGCCCTGTTTTGTCTTCTCCCCTTGGCATCTGCTTTGGTGCTCTCAGAGCCAGGGCACTGCTCTGCTGGGACCTGTGCTGTGACCCACTGCAGCTCCTGATATTCTGGGGGATGAAACAGATGGGTGAGCGTGGCGAAGCTAATCTTGGTTATAAGTAACAGCCAAAATTTCAGAGTATGTGCCCAGAAATGACAGATGCTGACTTCTAGATCCTGCTCAGACTGCAGAAGTCAAATCTGCATCTTCTAGCTTCTCAGGAAAGCATCCCAACCTTGATTCGCTCTGGAGATGGCATCCTAGACGTTCCCAATGGAAAGTGGTCTGCAGTGCAAAACTTCTCCTTTGGTTTTTTGGGACTCATTCCTGAAGGCCAACAGCTCTCCAGCAAAGCCATTGGGGCGCTCAGCCAGCGAGAGCATTTGCTCTGACAGCCTCAGTGCTCGAAGCTTTTCAGCATTGCAGGAGTGAAAGGGAATTGATTCTTTCTATTTTCATCGCTGCCTTCAGTTCTGAAAAGTAGGGCAGAGAATCAGCGCACGATTTTTGGCACGGGGAAGCGGTTTCGAAGCAGTAGCGAGAGCGCAGAATTTGTGAACAGATTACAGAGATGTTCTAACATCGGTGTATAACTTGGATCGCATTTCGTAGATTAGCTTTGCCTCTACTGAGCTGAGATTGGTTTTCAAATTCTAACTTGAAATCTAGACCTGTGTAGCTCATGGAAATTGCACTTTCATATTTGTTTAGGAGCTGGGAGGGTGCAATGTAAGTCAACCTTTTGCATGCTGGAAATGCGTTCTAGAAAACACAGAGTTTTTCTGCATCTTTTAATTCTCTAAGTCCGCCCTTGGGGTTTAAATATATTCAGAACCCATCATCCATCTTGAACAGCTGAGTCCTGCTATCTTTGTATGTGTATTTTAACCAGAGCTGTTCTGAAGTGGCTGGAGCCTCCGCTAGGGTTATATCTGCCTTACAAAGAGAGCTGGGTAATGTGCCCTCTTTTCAAAACTCTCCCCTCAGGCATCGTGGATATTGTGCGTCACGTCATTTAAGCTTGATGTGGAATAGGTCAGGAGAGGCCGTGCTTCTGGATTTTTCTGTATGTGTTCTCATGGCCCATTAAAATAAGCTTTCTGTGACCGCAGGAGAAGTGGATATGAAAAGGAGAGAAGAAAAACGTTGCGTGGTCCCCGTCTGGAGCTGCCCGACACGAGGCAGGCGGGAGCGAGTGCTTAGTCATAGCAGCTTGCGTGGCATTTGTCTTCAAGACACAATCGATCGCGAGCGTTAGAAGCTCAGAGAGCCCCAGGATAAAGCTGCGGATCCTCTGAACGCTTTAGCGGCGTTTGTGAAGTTGCCAGGAATTGTTGCGAGCGAGCGTTTAAGATTTGCTTTGTCACGGCGGTTCTCAAACCATCCAAGGTTTTAATCGGGGACCCCTCGCTAAGCTCCCTGGTTCTGCGAGGAGCAGAGCGTTTTATCTGATCTGGGCTCATGTAGAGCCTCAATAAAGCCACGGTTTTATTCAAGTTGAGGACCTAATTTACCTCTCCTCCTCCCTTGTCCCTCAAAAGAAAAAACCCTTAAGAAAGCCAGTAGAGAATAATCTCAGCTCCTGGAAAGAGCTCCACAGCAATGAA